TCCTTGGTTTCTCGGACTCTCGGTTGAGATGGAGGTTGCGGAAGTCCAATACGGTCCGAAGGTGACCTACATGCTCGGTAAGGCAGCTACTATACACGACAATATCATCCAAATACACTACAACGAACTTGTCAAGGTAGTCATGAAAGATTTGATTCATCATAGTGCAAAAGGTTGCCGGTGCATTAGTAAGTCCGAAGGGCATTACCTTGAATTCGAACGAGCCATACCTTGTTACACAGGCGGTCTTGGGCTCGTCTCCTTCAGCAATCCGGACTTGGTAATAACCCGACCTCAAGTCGAGTTTGGAGAATATCCGTGCGTCCTTAAGCTGGACAAAGAGGTCAGCGATCATGGGAATCGGATATTTGTTCTTAACAGTTACCTTGTTAAGGGCACGGTAGTCTATACACATGCGCAATGATCCGTCTTTCTTCTTTTGGAAGAGGACGGGAGCTCCATAAGGCGCCTTGGAGGGCTGTATGTACCCGGCGTCTAGGAGGTCTTCGAGTTGCCTCTTGAGCTCGGCCAATTCGGGAGGCGCCATACGGTAGGGTGCCATGGCCGGTGGCTTAGCTCCGGGGGCAAGTTCAATGGCGTGATCGATTCCACGCCTCGGAGGGAGCTTCTTGGGCAGCTCCTCTGGCATCACATCATAAAAATCATTAAGGACTTTACGTACCTCGGTCGGAATCGCTGGTTGATCCGACTTTTCCGTCTCGTCCGCGTTGTTGAGCTCTCGGAGTGTTGCAATGAAGCAATCCGAGCTCTTCACCCCTCGCTTGAACTGTGTGGCGGTGAGTGTGGGAGTGGATGGAGATGGAACGGATCGAAGAGGAACCACGGTGGGTATGTCCTTGTCGACAATGACCAACGCGGTGGTGGCTGCGGGAATGAACGTACTCACGGATCGAAAGAACGTGAGTCCTAGTACGACCCGAAAGTCGTCCATGGGGAGGATAGTGAAGTCGGTCTTTCCCGTCCAGTCACCAATCCGAATCCGGACATCTCGTACGAGGCCGGACGCGGTTTGGGCTGGTGAGTTGACCGCCTTGACCGTTCCCCCGTTCCCATCCACCTTAAGCTTCAATCGACTCGCCTCACCTACATCCATGAAGTTATGTGAGGCACCGGTATCAAACATAGCAGGAACGAGCTTACCACGTATCTCGACGTCCGCGTAGAGGAGACCCTTGGTCATGGGTTCCTTGTTCTTGCTAGTTCCCGGTGTTGCCTTCTTGGACAAGGTGTTGAACCGGTGAAGGGACCCGACAATAGCTAGCTCTTCTTCCTCGGGAACCTTGCTCTTGCCTTTCTCTTTGTCCTTGTCGGCTTGTTTGTTCACTGCGTTCATCTTCTTCTGTTTAGGACAGTCTCGGACCCAATGAGGGCCTTGGCACAAGTAGCACGGGCTCGGGGGAAGCCTCTTCTTTGGCTGTCCACCGCTGGTCCCGGTGTTAGACTTGTCCGTCCGAGGTTGTCCTTGGCCCGATTGATGGGACCGTGATTTGTTCCCGTCTTTCGATCGAGAAGGTTGGTTGGGACGGTTTGCGGAGTAGTCCGTGAGACTCTCCACGATAGCTATTGCCGCATTCAAGGTGTGAGCTTCCCGGCGAACCACTTCCATCCTAGCAAAATCTTTAAGACCGTCTTTGAAATGGAACAAAGCGTCTTGGTCAGAAACATCTCCTAGTTCTAGAAGTAATGCGGTAAAGTCACGAATGTAATCGGCAATACTCCCTGTTTGACGTAGACGCCGAAACTTAGTTCGGGTCTCGTCTCGTGCATTGGTAGGCACGAATTGATGTCGGAGCGCGGTCTTGAATTGGTCCCAAGTGACAATGGGATGGTCTTGGTCCAATAAGGTCCGTCTCCACCACAATTGGGCGAGGTCTCGGAGGTAGATGGCTGCGCCTTTGACCTTGACTTGCTCCCCCGAAATACCTCCGTTGTCGAAGTATTGTTCCATGCCGAAGAGGAATGACTCGACAGCATTGGCACTCCGAGCCCCATTGTAAGTGTTTGGTTCGGGTGCTTTGATCACTTGCTCTCTCGGTGCGCGTTCTAGCTCCCCTCTTGGTGCTTGCTGTACCATTTCTCGAAGGGACCTACACTCACGAGTAAGTTCGTTAACCAAATTACGTAAACCCGTTACCTCGCGGTCATGCTTCTCTTGCATGAGCCGAAATTGTTCAGCAGTCAAGCCTCGGTCGACTTGTTGGGACTGCTTGATGTCGTCAAGGACGTGCTTGGTGGATTCCCCGACGGCGGAGATCTCCTGCTCAAGCTCGTCCATGCGCGTGTCTTGCTCAGCCTCGGACTCCTCTAGCAAACGTAGGCGTGTCTCTACGGTTGGCAGATTTGCCTCGGTTGAGTGAGATCGGGATCGGGTGACAATGGGGTCGCGTACGACACCTTGGTCACGTGCGCTCTCAGCCTCGGAGTTGCGCTCCTGTGGGTGAGAGGAATTCTCTCCTGAGCCCGACATGTCTCGTCGATCTCCTTGGTTTCTCGGACTCTCGGTTGAGATGGAGGTTGCGGAAGCGAAAGTGAGCAGATCCGTTTGTGAATGAACACCGCTCTGATACCAAATGTCACGGGCTTGAATGTGGAGACACTCAATCCGTGCGGCAATCAACCAAAGGGGACGTGAGAGGACCCGACAAAGGATGACTAAGCCTAGGATTTGGGTAAGTTCCAAAGGAACGAGGTGAAAAGGGATGAATGGGAGCCGAGAGTCGAGAGAACCAAAGGAAGAAAAGCCGACGGTACGGCTGATTATATTGATAAT